TTCTAGTTGAGGAATTCAACTGATCTGGCCTTGAATTTTGAGAAGAACTTCCACACAATGAAGATGTAATTGTTACGGCATTTCAAGCCAACCATACACTGTCATTGTTAACATCTTAGTGTAAGCAAGTCTGCCCTTGACGAATCTCGAGTGACTTGCCCTGATGTTTGGTGAAGTGAACATATCAATTTACCATTTCTCAAAAAGAAAATTTTCAAATTACCATTTTCTCATTGTTCGGATGTTAGAAATGCTGAAAACACCAATGAAGACAGGAAAATAAAAAATAAAAAATCTACCCTGTATTCAGTGACTACGAGATTCAGACCCAAAAAACAAGGGGATGAACCATAAATTTCTCATTGTCTTTTCCTCCTATGCCTAACCCACCATTATTCAATAATGGCAAAATTATAGAAATGGTTCCTAGACTAAGATCAAATTTTACTTTTCGTCCCTAACATTGTTAAATTGTTACGGTGGTACTTTAATTATGCCTCCATTTTTAGAAATTGTCTTTTCTGTCATCTCAGTCAACTTTTCCGTTAAAAATGATGACATGGCAATAACAAGTCCTACTTGACATACGCAAAAAAGGTCTTTTCACACAAAAAATTTAAAAAATAAATCAAATCTCTCTTTCTCTCCAGCCCCGATTCAAAAATAAAATAAATAAAAATGATAAATGAAAGCTGAAGACAAAGAGAATCGGGCTTTTTCAAAGAATTACTGCAGCTTTCCCACTCCCTTTGATTTTCTTCCCAGCCCCAAATTTCTTGTCAATAATGAAATTTTGCTTGTTGGATTATGCTGGTTGTTTATCCATTGAGATTTTTTTTTCTGGAGTGCTTTGCTTTCCACCATCGTTGAGACCTCAGTCCGCTTTCTCATTCTCAGGCTTTAATCTCTCAATCACAGATGAGAGATGGACTTTGGCTCACGAATCGAAGTTGGGATTCAGATAAACTCATGGGCGAGTGAGAAAACCCTGTCAATCCATCAATGAAATAGTGGGTAATCACTCTGATATTGATATATTGGGCTTTCAAAAAAGAATGGCATCTCTATTTCTTCATCAGCCAAGCATGACTTAGCTAGATACATGAAATTGAAACCTGTATGAGAAGCGATCTTCAGTGCAGCCAAAAACCCAAAAGCTGATGGGAAGCGATCCATCCTTCAACTAAGGAGACGGACAATGCAAACGGCCTACCTAGATACCCATCAACCCTCTGCTTCTCTCTTTTGACCATATCTGGGGTGGAGGATGGGGACTGTGGTTATGGGCTCATGGGTACTGGTGTTGCGGGCTATGGTAGAAGGTGGCTGTGGGATAGGTTTGAGGGTTGGAGCTTGCATGTGGTAGTCATGGGAGAATGGGGGAAGAGAAAGAACAGGAGGGAAGGGGAGAGAGAGAGAGAGAGAGAGAGAGAGAGATTAAAAATATTATGAATTTCTCAAATTGTCCTTAATTTTAACAGAAAATTTAACTAAGGGGGGTGTATTCAATTAAGATTTTAAAATATTATTTTGGAATAAATAAAGTTGACGGAAAGACCAATGATGCAGCATGAGATCTAATTGAAACACCACCGTAACAATTTAACAATATGAGGGACGAAAAATAAAGTTTGGTCTTAGTTCAGGGACCATTGCTACAATTTCCTTCATTAATTTACAAAAACTAAATTCATGTTACCTAAAACCCATGTTAACTCTTACTAAAGCAAAACAAAACAAAATTATAGCCGAAGGAATTTCCAAAGACCCAACAAGTACTGCATAGAGTTGCAAAAACAAGAAGAATGAGACGTTCAAGTACTGCACTGCAGTTTCTAGAAAAATTTATATGTTATTATCTTGAGAAGAACAAAAATGTCATGAAATAAATGATGAGCACAAAGATCCGGAGTTCCTCACTATATCAGTTAGAGAAAAGCTCGTGGAAAAGCTCAGAGGCATCAATATTAGCGGCGATCCGCTTCGGCTCTCCGGTCTCAACCCTCCTCCGCCGAATCTGGCAATCTCCAATTGCAAATAAATAAAGGGGCTCTTAGATATGGGTCCAATTTGAAGAATACAATTTGATTGCAGGACAGTAATTGTTACTTATTTATTCCAGTCCTAAAGCCCAGTCATGCAGCCACCTAAGCAAATAGTATGGCCATAAATTTTAATTTATTTACAACTATTGCCATTATATACAAACAGAAAGTAGAAGGTTTCACCAAATTGCATATCTCAGATCCCCCAAATCACAGAAATCCCAAAAGTGATGCTCCGTTTTTCCCAATTTTCATTGATTTTTTTGGTTCCTTAATAGGAAGATTTGTGGGTTCCTTCTAATAATTCACGATTAGATATGGACTAACCCAAATTTTTTGGATTATCAGAAACTATGGTTTCAATTGAAGTTTCTGTATCCCTGGTAAATTCTCTCACTAATGGTATGTCAATTTTTGGATTATCAAAAACTGTGGGTTCCTTTTCTGTTACATAGAATTTTAAAATGACAGGGTTTAGATTTCTATCATTTCAATTTCTAGCAATTGAAGATTTCAGTGTTTGGATTTATGTATGTCAAATTTTGTAAATGACAGAAATTGAAAATTTCAATGTTTGGATTTATGTATGTCAAATTTTGTAAATGACATAAATTGAAAATTTCAATGTTTGGATAGCTCATGTAAATTATAAATGACAAAAATTAAATATTTTGAAAGAACAAAAAAACTGATAACCGACATAGAAGGTATTCCTCGAAGTATAAAATAACATATCGTTTGATGAACTAAATAACTCAACTTAAACAAACAAAGCATATTAGCAAACCAAATCACTCTCCACGTGCAATGAACATCAGCAACATACTCTCTCTCTTTTTTCTCAATTGGGAGTGCCTTCAGCATCTGACAGTATAGGAATAAACGATGAAATCAATGAATCACTATCATAAGACTTAATTCAGGTCCCAAAGAATCAAGGAGCACCTTGGCCAAGCTGCAACTTACGGGCAAGTTGGTGCAACTTACAATCAACATCTAATGGCTCACATAAAGCGACAAAGCTAACAAACAACTACAGAGTAAGGCAGTAACACAAAGTGATAAAGCTAGCAAACAACTACAGAGCTGTACCATAAACACAAATCACACACCAATATCCATGGGCATAGAGTATTTTGTTAAAACTTCCCAAAAATCCAGCTATAGTGCCGTAAAGATCACAAAACCCATTCAACATATTTATAAATTTAGTCAAAAACACCCAATTTTGATAGCCATTTAGAAACCATGGTAACCCTAAAATAGAAAAATATAAATTGAAGGAGAGAAAGGCTTGAAGACTAACCTTCAAACTTGATCCAGAGAGATGTGTAACCCAAGAAGAATTCCTTCTCTTTACTTCTCTGGCTCGCAGCTTTTTTATGATGCTCCTTACTTCTCTGGCTCATAGCTTTTTTTTATTTTTTATAAAACGACAAGGCAATTTGTTGTCTAGGGTTTCATAGGTTTTTGGTGCTGTTTTTTTTAATTTTTTTTAAAAATTTTTATGAAAAGTTTGGCAAGTTTTTTTTAATGTAAGTTGTGGCACATTGGAAAATATGAATTCCCGCACTATAGAAATTGTGAAATAACGCCTATTTTGGTGGAAATTAAACTAGGGAATTTGATGCCTCAATTTCCATATTTTTTCCGCGCGCCATTTAATAAGTTCCGCACTTAAGTTGCCAAACAAGAGAATTGTCAATTTCTCAAATTAAATTCTCGACTTTTAGCTAAATTCCAAGTTATTTTACCTCATCCAAATGGATGGTTATGGTTTGTTGGAGGGAGGACTTTTCATCTCTTTGAATTGTTTGTTAAGAGTGGAAATATAAAGAGTAGATAAAGTTAGAGAGATTCTTGTAAGACCATCGTCGATTGATTAGGCGTTACCATGCTAGTTTAAGTCGGCTTGCAGTGATGATCTCTTTCTTTGATTGAAGCTTCCTTGATCTGTCATTTCAAATGTTTTGCAGTATGCCAATTGTTATAGTTACAGAATGACTGATGTTCCCAATTTTGTAATAGATAAATATCATAACTGGGTTTAATCATCATCTAGAACTTGTTGTATAGGTAATTGGCTGAAACTGTAACTATGCTATAGGCACAGGTAACCTCTAACATTGTACCTATGGCGCAAGTACTTTACACAGTGGCTTGATATGGCGCTTCACGGAGAACCTAGCCTACAGGTAACTTGCAAAAGTGTACCTATGACATAGGTATTTGACACATTGCTTGGGATTATCTTCTTCGAAGTTTGGCATATACCAGTGACCTAGGTACTGTGTCAGCGATTACCCATACGACAAGAGCTTACCTATACAATAGGTTCTAAACCCAGAAAATGAGTGAGAGTATAACTGTTGGACAACATGCAAATGAACAGATTAAGTCTGTTTATATATGAGCAAAAATTCTCCAATAAATATCCAACAAAAACATTCTCCATAATTGATTGTGGAAGATATGATTTTTGCGATTCTTTCTATTCTTGGTGTCTGAGGATTGTTTAACGCGATTTTTGATATTTTGCTGTCTTTTAGGTTACCTAATTTCTATCTTAGGGGCAAATTGGAAGCACAACATAAATTAAAATTTAAGAAAATAAAATATAAACCTTAGAAATTAAAAAAAAGTAAGTAATCCTACATGGCACAAAAGTCAAAGGACTTAAATTACTAACAACAAATGTGTGGATTGCACCCAAATTCTGTCATAAGAATTGGACTTATACTGAATTTTCTAATAAATAAATAACATAGGGAAGGAAAAAGAAAAATGGCTCCTCGGTAGATGCAGAGATGCCAAAGATGAGAATCCAATTGCATGATTTAAAAAAGTAAAAAGAAAGTGATGTCGTATAAAACAATAAGGAGTGCACATCATACTGTCGATATAAAGACACGACAAAGAGCCGCGATGCTGGCCTGCTTTTGCAATTTCCTTTGTTTATTGTATTGCACCCAACTCATTGGCATTGTTTACCACTACTTGCATCTGTAAGCTGTCTACAGATGCTATGTTTTGTTTTGCTTTCTTCTTCTTCTTCAAATCTTCAAATCTTCAAATCTCTGTTGGTTTTTCTCTTCCTGCCTTGCCGAATTTTGTGGGTGGAAAATGCAGCAGTATCGTTTAGATATGAGACACACAGAGGCCCGCATCGCAATGACCACCGTGAACTGCCATTGTCAACATGCATGCGGGGGACTTTCTCTTTGTTTACTACTACTTGCATCTGTAAGTTGTCTACAGATGCTATGTTTGTGTTGCTTTCTTCTTCTTCTTCAAATCTTCAAATCTTTCCTGCCTTGCCGAGTTTTGTGGGTGGAAAATGCAACAGTATCGGCTAGATATGAGACACACAGGCCCGCATCGCAATGACCACCGTGAACTGCCGTTGTCAACATGCATGCGAGGGACTTTCTCTTTCTCTTTGCATGTGGAGACCGGATTACGTGAAAATTTAAATGGGTTGGTTTTTACTACTCTCTTCTTTCTCTTTTTCATCTGATTCTGGAAAGTTGGCATCGCCTTTCTCCTGATGATCTTTCTCATCATATTTTTTCTGTTTCAAATCTTGTTCCCATATTACCAAAACCAGTTGTTAGCAAGGTCATTTTATCGCTTCTCCTGGCCCACTGAACTAGCCCCAAAAGCCATGAATTAGTCTAGCCTCTCTCACTTGATTTTTAGTAGTTTTGGCAAAGTTCCAATTCACTTGATTTTTACGAGTTTTTTCTTTTTATTTTTATACGATTGATTTAGTAGTTTTTGCAATTAAAAAATAAAGACTTCTCTTCTTCCATTTCTTTAACAAAAGTAGCACGTTTGAAGCTCATCATCTTGTTTCTCACGTGCTTGGGAGAAGATAAGGGAGGAGGAAGGGGAGGAGTTAGGCAAAGAACCAGTTGAAGATACTTTGTTTCTCACGTGCTTTCGTTTCTGTAAAGTGAAGGGTGAAAAAAATAATTAAAAACAAAAAATGTTTAAAACTCCTTTAATGATGTGACATAGCCAACTCAACAGCCACAGCCACATTATATGGTACACAAATATGGTATAAATAGGTGATCTCCTTAGCACGTTACCCGCGTATAGCCAACTCCCACACCTCTGCCCTGCTTGCTTGCTCCCTCTCCATATCTCTCTCTGTCGCAGTGCTTCTATCGGTTCGGTAGGTATCTGCAATTTCTTGTTCATTGTTCACCACTTTGCGGTTTGATCAATTTTTGGATAAGTTAATCTGAGAGCAATCACTATGCCCTCTGTTCATCTTTTCCAACAGAGTTAAAAAAAATCCCAAGTGAAAAATCTTATGGGTTAGGGTGAGATTTGAGATAGGGTTTGATACCAAAAAAATATTTTTTAAACGTTTGAAGTCTTGATTGAATATCACTAGATTTGGATACTTTTTAAAAAAAAATCCTAATAGTCTTATTGGAATACCACAAGACTTATTTAGATCATTTAAAAGTCTTAATTGAATACCTCAGTTGTTTCTTCTTCCTTTTGCGTGTAGCAACAAATATGGTGATTCCTGTTCATTCTGAAATTGGGGAAGGCTTCGCCCCGTTTTCAATATCTAGCCATAGAGGGCCAGATACCATTCACCGAAGCCCATACAAAAATCTTATGGGTTAGGGTGGGATTTGAGACAGGGTTTGGTATATATGCCTCCCACTACAAAATCCTGCTCAATTCCATATTTTAAAAAATCCTTCGAAATTAGCAAGATTTTGGATTTAAATGTTTGAAGTCTTGATTGAATATCACTAGATTTGGATACTCACTTTTTAAAAATCATAATAGTCTTAATGGAATACCACAAGACTTATTTAGATCATTTAAAAGTCTTAATTGAACATCTCAATTATTTCTTCTTTCTTTCGCGTGTAGCAGAAAATATGGTGTGTCCTATTGATTCTGAAATTGGGGATGGCTTCGCCCCGTTTTCAATTTCGAGCAAAAGAGGACCAAAAACCATACACCGAAGCCCATATCAGGGCAATAAGAATAACAAAGGGTATGAACTTATTATTATTATTATATTTTTTTGATTTAGTAATTCAATCAACTGTTCTTATCTGTATATCTGTTGATTCATCATGTTTTCTTTAATGCATTGTCAATCAACTGTTAGTTGGTTTTGAGAAATTTAGGTGTTTGAGCATTTTGTCTTTTTTTGGAATTTCAGCAATAATGAGTTGCTTTACTTACAAGTGACTGTCAATGACGGAGCCACATATAAGAGGGGGAGAACCTGTTTGATGAAATGCCTTAAAGGCATCCTGTCAAACTTAAGTTCCACTAGTTTACACCACCCAACATTCGACATTCAACATTGCATATACATATATAGTTAAATGCTGAAACAATTTTGATACGATTTATCTAAAGCTGAAGCTTAAAGGGAGGCCACTGATTAGCTAGATCAGACAATCATACTGTTGCAGTTTTGAGATTGAGCTTTTTATCATTTTCCGTTTCCTTCTGAAAACATGCGTCATTGGTGTTTGCAAAAGTATTTACTTCATAGGTCTTTGGTATTCATATGCTTTCTGTTTTGTTTCTGTTAATTAGGTGTTTGATGGTTTCTGTATCTTTGCGGTATATCCAACAACAATATGTGCATGAATTTTGGATATCAACAACAGATTATATTTCTCTTATTTTGTCTCTTCCTTTGGCTTTATCAAGAAAATAATTCTAGTGTTAAACTATTTCCTCTGTATAAGCAGAGTAGAGGAGGTTTTCTCTTATGCACGTGGGCTAGTTGCAGCTAAAGGCACATGAGTTACTTCAGCTATAAGAAGGTGATGAGAGTGCAGTTGAAGTTGGATTTTAGGATTGTTGGACTAATGGCTGAAGTAACTCATACGCAACTCATGTGCATGAAAGAAAAGCTCATGAAGATAGAACCCTAGGTTACCGGTCTTTTGTCTTCTCATTTCTACATTTTCTTCAATGTCACAGCCTTGGGCGCCCCCCCAGAGCTTCAAGCGACACTCGGTCTTCTTCAATACTGGTGAGTTTTCACACACATTCTTTCCTTCTTCTTTTTTATATCTTGCGTTGTTTCCAAACTCAGTTTTGTATATGGAACCAAAAGAACAAATAAAGGTGATATTCATTGTCTACATTATGTAATCTATAAGGTGCATTATTGTTCTCTCAGTTTTACTTGGTGTCTCCAAGAAAGATATAGTTGTGCTTGGACTAATATTCTGAATAATTACTTGCCTGCCTGCCTTGTATACTTGTATACCTGGTTCTACAAACTTTTTCTACTATTACTTGTTTGCGCTTGTTGTGTACTTGTAGTCTCCAAATGATGTTCCGAATAATTATCATATTTGTGAGAATAATGATTTAATTTGTATATGTTATGATTCAACATTTCTTTTCTATAACATCTTATAGCCCTTTTTTATTTCTTTTCTGGGTTTTGTATATCTTGAAGGTGTCTATTAAGCCTCCAGAGGCTAGCATTCAGGGAGGATTTGCAACGAATCCGATTTCACGTGCTGGTCATGCTGACAGTACCCCCGGAACTAAAAGTCACGGACTGTTAGCTCTAGCTATGAAGAAGTAAGAAATTATAGCTTTATTGATTCATACCTCTCCTTTAACTAATTTTCAGCTGATTTTGAGAAAGTTAGTCCTTTGAACAGTTCATATGTTTGGACTATCTACCTAATTTGGTGTTTAACAATAACAGTTAGTACCTGACATTTCTCATCTCTTGCTCTATTCCCCTTTTTTTTTTTTGTGCCATGTAGTTGTTTAATTAAGAAAGCTGAGAGAATAATAACTAGCCAACTGTATGTGAAATTCATTGGCTACTGATCTTTGTTTTGATTTGGGACCTTTTGTTATTACTGTGTGGCTATGTTTGGTGCCTAGGATTTGATTGGATTGAATAACTCACTAGATTCAAGGTATGTTGATGTTGAAGGAAGAAATGGAGGCCCTCTTTCAAACTTGGTCCAAGTTGGATGTAGAATATGGATTAGTTATGAAGAAAACCTTATAACTTATCACACGATGAAAAATCCTTCAGCTCTATCGTCATTTCTTATTTCAACGTACCTTGAATCTAATAAGGTATCCAATCCAATCTTAGGCAACAAATGTGGCCTACGCCTGTGAACTTTTTGTAGTGTACTATGTACCAGGTCACTTTTAGGTTCTTTGATATTATGGCATCGTGAATTTCTCATGTAATTTTCCAAAATTATCATTTGTGTCGTAACTTGTTATTGTCAACTGTGCCTCTGCAGGATCGCAAAGTTTTTCAAGTTGTAAGAAAAGCTGGCACGTTAGACTCAAAATAGCTTGCCTGAGAAAAAGAAGATTCAACCTTGTTGATGGCATTTCTTAGGATCTCATGTTGTTTTGAGGAGCGTTCCAATTTTGATTACAAAACTTAAAATTTATAGATAGTGTTTAGTATAGGGATCTCATGCATGGGGCTAGTGGAGAGTCCTTCTGTGGTGCATCAGCTGTATCGGTACAGACACTCACATGATAGGCACATGATGTTTTTTACACACGCTCGTTCTTCAACTTGCTCTGAACTGTCGCTCGTCCTACTCCTCTGTATTGTGGAGCTGGATAGTCTCGATGGCGCAAACCGGTGGTAGAGGACGGGTCGGACTCGCTTGAATCGTCTCAGAGCTGCGTCGGCCTTTCGGACCTGCGATCGTTGTGTCGTCGTGGGAAGATGCGTTAGAGTTGTTGGGTGGTGCTGCGTTCACGGCAGCAGCGGCGGAGGCGCTGATATTGTTGAGAAACGTCATCGTCGTGGAAGATTCAACTTCGCCTTCGGCGTTCGTACAAAACGTCATCGTCGTGGAAGATTCAACTTCGCCTTCGGCGTTTGTACAAAACGTCATCTACTCAACAAGATTGCCATCTTCTCCGATTCCTATTGCCCGTATGTTATTATCTCTGTATTACTTATTCATTTTGGCTTTTGTGAAGAATTTAAGGTATTGGGATTGGAAATTCATAAATAAGCAATCAAATTGGAATTTGAGAATTGTGAGTTGGTCAATTTGATAATTATGAGAAATATTTAGAGTGTTCATGTTGAGGAAAATATGAATCCATCATCTCAAATGGGACCTTTTTACTAATTTATAGATTACTTTTCATTTTCATGGATTTATTGCATTGTTTCCTAATTTTGGGAAATGAATTGGTGCGTTTCATCTACTAAATCTTCAGCTTTTTGTTATTGAAATAGTTCGCAAGTTGAGTAGAAATGTTTAGAAAAAGAACTCTGTGCACGCCTGTGTGTGAATTTAAGTAATGTTGAAATGAGGGATTGTGTGCTGTTTTGTGGATTCTTCTTTGAGGGTCTCTAGCTTGGTGAGAATTGTAGATTTTTAAATCAAAGCATAAGATTTCATTTTATTGTAAAAAAAATTCATTCATCTTAGTCATCAAAGAAAATAGAGCATTGAGATACCAGTTAGAGAAGAAGAAGAAGAAGAAGAAGAAGACGACTCGGTAAAATACATATTGTCATTTTTGGTCCCTATAGTTTGCCACTTTTATCACTTTGATCTCTTTCGTTTCAATTTTGTCAACTTTATTCATATAGTTTCAATTTGAAGCAATTTAATAACAATTCTCAATTTCTGTAAATAAAAAAAGGATTAACTCTATTAGTTGTAGATGAGCAATTCGGTAAACAACCTATTAAAAAAAACAAAAACTCTCCCTACCTCTTTGCAACAACAAAAAAATCAATTAATATGTTTAAGAGATATTTAGTGATATACCCATTCTTAGCACTAATATTATAAATAAACCCTACACAATTGAATTTCTATAAACATACTCAAAAAAAACCCCAAAAAATAACAGCTGGCCTTATTAAATTTAATATTAATTATTAAATTACTTTGATGTCCTATTGAGTGTTTTAGGTATTTTTATGAGATTTTGGGGTTGGGCTTATTTTAAAAAATTGATGGCAGTTTTGTAATTTATAAGAAGTTAAAAGCTTTTTTGTTATGTTGTAAATGAGTTTTGGGTGTGTTTCTAAAATCCATTTCATATGGGGTATTTTTATAATTTGGGCCTCTATATTGAGTATAATAGTGAATCTCCCTATGTTTAATTAGGAAAAAAAAAAAAAAAAAATCTCTTCTTCTACCTCCCTGCGTCCTCACAGCCATCACCGCCCACCCCACCTCTCCACACCCACCTACCCCAAAATTCAGAATTTACAGAGCCCTCAGATTTAGTAACAAACACACACCGAGTTAGAGAAAGAGAGAGAGAGTAACAAACCCCCACCCCAAAATTCTTAAAATTACTAACTTTTCCCGTTATCTTATCGATTCCTCACAGACCTCAAACCGTCTCTCTCCTTCACCACCTCGTCTAATTGCTTCGGAATCTCATCCCTCTACTACAAAGCCTCCGCGGAGATTTCATCTGGCGATGGAGCCTTAATCGTGACAGGCACTGGATTGTCGCCCTCGGTGTCACTGAGCACCGCATCGTTGTCTTGGGCGCTCGCGCTTCTAGTTATGTTCCCGCTTCCGAAGTCTGACTGCGTGACACCCAGTCAGATAACGGACGGATCGTCTTCGTCATCGCCGACTCGCGTTGAGATCTGGTGCAGAGGGTGGGTGGGATGGGGTTGATGGAGGGACCAAAAAAATTTGACATAATTGAGGATTCTTCGAATTGAAACGCGAAATTGACCAAATTGAAATTAACCAAATTAAAACGACGGAAACAAAAGAGTGAAAGTGGTAAACTACATGAATCAAAAGCAGCTTTTTGACTCTTTTTTAATCAATTACAGGTAACTCAATGCTAAAACAAACCTCACTTCTCTCTCTCTCCCCCCAGGCCCTACTCTCCGCTGACCACCCCTCCCTCCCACCACCTTCATCCCTCCCGCAACAACACCAAACCCATCGCCTAAAAGCTGCAGCTCCGCACCCTTACCAGATCCATGTTTTGTTTTTTCATAGCTTTTGAGGGGTCAACATCATACATTGAATTAAATTTAAGAGCCCCGAACCTCATACCCACCACCACATACAGACCCCGGATAATGAGCTTGATTTCCCGTTTTCAGCTTTTCTAAGAAATAGAATGATGCATATGTGATCTGAGACCAAGTCATAAAAATCAAGAAGGGCAAAAAACCTTAATTAGAAAACTCAGCTCTAAAGGAATATTTGCAATCATTTCTGCAACTAGAAAGCATGAAGCTATATAATTGAGAAATTAATGTGTAAAAGTAACTTCTTTTTAAAATTAATCTGGACTGATTACACTCTATACAGGTGGAGGTGGCAAGTCCAGTAGAAGCCAAAATCCAACACAATCATCCGAATCCAAGTCCCCCTGGATTGCAAGGAAGTGCAAACCTCCACATTCCTTCTTTGCTGCTTCCCAAGCTTCAGCTTCACTTGTTGTTTCAGGAGTTTTGTTGTAGGTAGCATAAATATATCGCCCGGAAATTCCAACAGAAAGAATCAAGCGAGCCCGTGACAAATCGGCTTCAATTGAACAAACTTCCAACCCATTCATCCAAGCTGCAACAGTTTATAGAAAGATGTGATTATGATCTCTTACGGTTACAGGAACACCAGAAAATTGTATAAGACACAACAGGAATAAGAGAGCAGATTCAAGGAGAACGTATCACAATATCCCTTGAAGGATAGTGTTATCTAGTCAAAGAACCTGACATGGTATACATTAACATTCTGGACCACATGTTCAAATTAGAATCCACTCGACCAACGGTTTAGCTATTAGCATGTGATGCTTTCTGTACCCAGAACAGAACATCTATATAGATATTCGCAGTTTATTGAATAATCGTAAGGAGAAAGAAATTGCCATGTTATAAACAGACCAGAAGATGGTATTGGAGAGAATATACACCTGCTAGTGGTTTAGCACGTGAAGATGCAACAGCCAATCCTGGAATCAACGTCTTGTCATCAATTTCAATCCCCAATAAATCCAAATCTAGACTTGCCCCAAACACGAGGTTTGTGTCCAAGGATGAGATTTCCTCTTGAACAGCTGAAAACAGGAGTTAGAATTAGTGTGGGAACAGGAGATGTTAAAAAGAAATATTGGGTGGTTAACGCAGGTGACAGGATGTGAGTTGTTACATCTGTCAAGACTCAGAAATCTTCATTAGCAAGTCCTTTACCTGAAAAGGGCAATTGGACAAAGGCCCATTTCTCCCCAACAAGATTTTCTGGAAGTTCCATTGGGAATGGGTTATCTACTGCAAGGAGTGGCTTAGATCCTTTCTGGAAACCAGGATGGCGTGTGTATACAGTCTCGTAGCGTTCTTCCAACCATAAAAGCAACGAGAGACACTGAAAGAAGCAAAGTTCCAAGACAATAAGTAGACAGAGCATAGCAGCTTTACCAGAAAACCAAAGCAAGCTCCATTACTATACTCATGTACACTAGTTCTGCAGACATGCAAGTTCTGCATCTGTGTTGTAGTATCACCACATTTGAAAGTTACATATGATTTGAACGTCCGTTGTAGTGTCTTGTTAACATAGGTTCCAAAAAAGGTGTGAACAATCATCGTAATAATCTGTGCTTTATATCATTAAGTAGAACAAAATACTTGGATTAAGGAATTTCAACTACTTGGGATTGGATTAAAAATCCATGTCAACAAGTGATGCAAAACGGAAGAGAAACTAGAAGAATAGAGCCTCCACAAGGAGAATGGACACTCTCAGTGAGACAAACATATACTAAATTTATCTAATGCTTACTACATTTAACCTCATCCCCCATTCTCATGCTCCATCATTATAGAGCCTACATTAGAGTTCACGATAATATCTACTTAGACCGCTGAGCAAGAGTGTTAAGCACAGGTAAGTCTTACCACTAATGTAGTCCAACATACATCAACACAATACAAGGGCATTTCTTTCTGGTGATAGTTTTTAAACAAAAGAAAACAATCAACATCAATTTTTCCAAAGGAGAGAGCTGGCTAAATGCCAATAGATGATTATGTTACGTACCAATCACCAGATAAAATTCATGCAAATCTTCATTATCTTTCTCTAGCGGAGAAGGAAATAACAAGTGTATTTGAGCATTTCAAAACAAAACAAAAGAATAAAGAAGAACCTTCAACTCTGTACCCCTTTAAATTCTCTAGGCTATTATCAGCTGAACTTTCTTAAGTAACTTGATTAGTAAAAATGTCCTCAGACTTAGTTGTGTGATTGAAAAAATGATTTCGCTATCCATACAAGTTCCGAAAATTATACAATTGATAAGGAAAAAACATACTAACCCGTTTACTGGGAATGGGTTTTATACCAAGCTCGTTGCACGCTTTTGTTATAATTGTCTGCATCTGTGACCTATAATCCATTGAACAAAACGCAATCATACGAATTGAACCATTCCCAAGTGACATGGTTTCAAGTATGCACAATCCAAGAAAGCACACATAATGCAAAAACAAATTTTACCTGAAGTAGCGGATTTTATCTGGGAGAGGGACCCCTAATTCTTCACTAACGGTCACAATAGCATCCTTCAAAGTAATGCTGTTGATGACATTGTTGGGGAAGTACTTGGTGTGCTGCAGAGAAAGAGATTCATCACAAACTACAAGTTCCCAAACCTTCTTTCCCCTGATATCCAAAATGGGTCTGGAGCAGAAATCGAGCTCCCACTCCGAAATGCTCTCCGGGTCGGTTTCCGGGTCAAGATAGCTCATTTCAGCAGTTGGGTCATCGTCTTCTTCATCAATTGCTTCGTCTACTTGATCTTGTGTTGTTGAAACTGAGCTTTCTGATGACACAGAATTTGCACGAAGACAGAGCAGCTTTGGTCGGTTTTTTGAAGGATTGGTGGAGAGATTACATGAGATTTTGATGGGTTTAGTGCGAGAGATGAACTTGGAGATGGGTTTGTGAGATTGAAGCGTAGGGGTTCTGATTCTGGTGGTGAAGCTGAAGCTCGCCATGGAAGTATAGTAGCAGAGCAGTTCGATGGAGTTCGCAAGAAACTGTTATTAGCAGTTATTTCTCGACCACTCATATCTGTCTGAGGAGCTGGATGGCATGCAAAGCATGGGCCACCAGATGCTTTGGGCTCTGATCCTTTCAACAATGGATTCTATAGACACCCTAACACTTGTCTTGGACACCCATGGTTATTGTTTTTTGTTTTGTTTTGTTAATGAGAATTGTATTCCTTTCCAAAATGGCTGAAAATTCCTAAAGCAGACCTCATTCATTTATAACCAGTAAGTATCTATCATGTTATGTGTCACATTAATGAATGCCTATAAACTGTTCATTATAAAATATACAGCAAAGTGAATGTGATTAATCAGATTGCGTGAAGATCAAAATGGGACATGAGTCTAGGATATAAACCTTGGTGTTTTTGTCACATGACGAGAGAGATGAGATATAAACCGGAACATGCAAGTTTTTCTCTTCACTCTACTGCCCAAAAAAAAAAAAAGAGCTGCTAGAATTATCGGGTTTTTGGATTGGGCCTTGAAAGAACACCCTTTTCATAAGTCCATTGAAGACTGGGCTGGGCTACTTTTGCCATGACAATCAATATCCTCCACGCCAAGTCCAACAGATACCAACCTCTCCTTTTCCTTTGGTCCTTGTTGTCTTCCTCAACCAGAAGTGCCCTATCAAGCTATCAGCCTCCCGCCCGAGTTCATGGAAGTCAGAGTGTAAACTCAACTAGGTCAAGCAGGAGGAGGCTGTGGTTCTGTGAACGTGAGTTAATTAATAGAGCGAAAAAAATGAAGTTAGCAACTTCATCATATTCATATTCCTCAGTTACTCCTATTCATTCTGTTTTTCTTCACAAAAACCGTCGCAAATTGTCATTTAATATATTTCAGGGTACTTCTTCTTCAACAACCGCATCCAATTCCACATCCACTTCTTCTTCCACTCAAACCCATCAACTACTAAGCACACCCGCCGCAATGGTTTCTTCCCTCCGGACCCACCGCCATGCCCACTATCCTCCTCCGTGGTTTAGGTTATTCTCTCTCTCTCTCTCTCTCTACTTTTTAGTTTATTTGAATTTATTATCTTTATTATTGCATTCAATTTGTAATTGCTGCTGATTTCTGTGGACTTGGGTTGTTTGGTTTTCAAATTTGCAGTGTTGCTCCCATGATGGAATGGACTGATAATCACTACAGGACTCTGGCCAGGCTCATTTCAAAGAACGCATGGCTCTACACTGAGATGCTTGCTGCTGAAACAATTGTCTATCAAAAGGACAATCTGGTAAGCCATATTTATCTAACCGTATTTTCTGTTCAAGTCTAACTTGGGGGCAGGACCAGGAGGCTTATTATTTTATGTACTGTGTATGTAGTAGGCTTCTCTTTTTTCTGTTTGCTCTTTTCCCTAGGAAAATACACTGCTAGAATTGCTTTTGGTAGCCGCAAGTGAGATATTGGACTTCATTTTGTATCAAACTAGAAAGAATTGTGAAATGTCACCTCAGAATCGAAAAGCTTTCAAATAGTTACAACCAATAACATAATTAGGTGGAAAACGTGAAGTTTATTTTCACAAGATACCATTTGGCGTCTTTTTGATTGATCGTCATCCAATAGAAGGAAAAGTTTGACAAATATCTTCCATGTATTTAGTTGAAATAAATCCCTTTAATTTTTTCAAACCACTTGTGTACTGACTGACGCTGGGATAGGAAGAAAAGAGAGATAGAGTAGGCCAGGAGACTAAAAAGGGAACTCTTAATTAGTGAGCCTACCACCTTAGATAGGTAATTATGGCTGGAAAATTTTTGGTTGTGGCGGTTTCAAGTTTTCAACAATTTCAGACAAAATGGACAAACTAGAGAAACTTTGTGAGTTTCAAAGTTCAAAATTGGAGTTGAGTGGGGCTAAATGTCCCAAGTAGAATTCTTAAAATGTTTTTTTTGTAGGTACGGGTTGATGTTGAGTGGCCTGGGTGGTAATGTATACACAAGGATGGAACTGTTTGGAATTTCAATTTTAATGCTTTTGTCCCTTGAGCGTACACATATCACAAAAGAATGTATAGATTTTTATATATTCTTTCCTTTGTATTTCCATCTTCTTCAATTTAGTATATGTTTTATTTTCTGAAGGGTAGCTGGCTGGAATGCGAATTAAAGTTCTGTTTGTTTTTTATTTATTTATTTAAATCTCTGAACTGCCATTAACAGTTACTGTCATTTCTTGAATCTTTTGTGCATCTGATTAGTTGGGATTGAGACAACTGATAGTGTGACTCTTTATCAGGACAGATTCTTGGAATATTCTCCAGAACAACATCCTATTGTTCTTCAAATTGGCGGGAATAATTTGGAAAACCTGGCCAAAGCGACTGAGCTTGCTGAACCTTACAAATACGATGAGATCAATTTTAAGTTTGTGCACTTACTATTACCTATCTTTTTATTCACCAAATTCCCTTCACTTTCTTTTTCTTTTTCCTTGACCCCTTACGTGGCCTTCTATGTTTTACCAGTTGTGGATGTCCGAGTCCAAGAGTAGCTGGACATGGGTGCTTTGGTGCTCGCCTTATGCTTGATCCAAAGGTTTGATAACATTTCTCATTATATTGTTAATTGCAATATATATATATATATATATATATGTTTGTTTTCTGTGCTCTGTGTTCTGATAAAGACATTTGGTCTTTACAAGGAAAGTTTGTTGCTGAGGCTATGTCAGTGATTGCTGCGCACACAGATGCCCCTGTCAGTGTTAAGTGTCGAATTGGTGTTGATGATCACGATTCATATAATGAGCTCTGTAAGGTCCTTTTGTCCAAATATTTTATCTATATAGTCAACAAACTTTTCAATATTTCTTATGATAGAAAAGAAAAGGAAATTGGAAGAGCCAGTGAATGATAAACTATGGACAAATAGGTTTTTGCATCTTACAAATATATTATGCTTTAATTTTGGATGGATAAAAAGAATGTTAAACACAAATTTAACAGTCAAATGTAGTGTAGGTGGATGGATAGTTAGCAAACTGAAAAGTGAGTATGAAAATTAGAGAGATAAGGTAAATGCAAGAGCTTTTTAGATTTTCCTATATAGGGAAGCATTGTATTACTATTTTGGAGCAGTCAGAAACAGAAGCAGGAAAGAAAATATAGCTTTGTAGCTTTTGTTTTATATGCCTGTTGAATGATAACTGTAGAACATTATTTATTGGTTTAATGCTTGTTGCTGAGCAAATCTAATTCTACATTGTTGCTTATCTGAATTTGAAAGACTGTAGCTATGGTTATGTTAGTTTCAGGAGTTGCATCCTTATTTTATTGTGCCACCACCTGTCTGCTTTTCAGGTGACTTTATTTACAAGGTTTCTTCTCAATCACCAACTAGGCATTTTATAATACATTCACGGAAGGCACTACTCAATGGAATTAGCCCAGCTGAAAATCGAAGTATTCCACCTCTTAAGTATGTATTGTGTGATTTCATATTTTGTCAACTTATAATTAAATCAGCTGACCTATGTTTATTAGAGAAATGTTATACTGGTATGCTTATCCCAAAATTGCTATCCTAAAAATGCTTAGATATTTGTATACATATGTAGATCACATTCACAGCTAACATGCTGCTTCTTATTATTAACCGCATCTTACTTTTTTGCAGATACGAGTACTTTTATGGCCTTTTGCGTGACTTTCCAGACTTAAGATTTACGATAAATGGGGGCATAAACACTGTTGATGAGGTGAACCTTGTCGATTGAACTGTTATTTTGGCCTTCAGAGGATATCATTTTTCTAGCTATATTTTGTTCAATTCTTTGTTGTATTTTTTCTTTTTTATGAAAATTTCCCGCAGTCCAATGGTACATCAGTTGGAACTTGGACTTTTGTGTCTGTGCTAACATTTCCTTATTGTTGAGAAAGGTTATCCCAAAATTGTATTTTCTGAACCTTTCTGTCATTATATTTGCTGAATTTTAAAGTTACTATCTTGATGCTTATATATGACAATTTTTGCATATTTTAATTTTGTGATTATATATGAACTGAGTAGTTGTTTAGCATTTCATTCTGGTTTCCAACATGACTTGGGAATGCATACAACAAAGCTGTAGCTTGTCCTTTATGTTAATTGATACAGGTACTTTATGTTGATTCCATTCGCCTATTTCTCATGACTTTTTACTCCCTCTGATTTTAGGTCAATGCAGCTAGAAGGGCAGGAGCTCATGGTGTAATGGTTGGACGTGCTGCATTTCAAAAGTATGTAAATACTCACAATTTGGATTTTCTTTTCCTTTTCGGTATGCTTATTGTTGCAAGAACCTTTAAGTTGGTTATATGTAGTTCGAGTCTTAGTCTTATCCTCTCGGATGATTATCTGCTTCTGTTTCATTTTTTGTGTCTGGGTGCACATGTAAATCTAGCTTTTCAAATGAAACTAGAATTCTTTCAATATAGTTTTTGTTTCCTATCAAAGAACAAAAATTTGAAAGAACCAAATGCACTTCATGTGCAAGGGATTAAGTAGACAGGGTACAACTTTAAAGAATGAAATTTGAGTATGGAGTGTCAGAAGGTAGGGAGAATGAAACCTCTTCAGTTAAGCTTTCTGCTTGAAGAGTGTTGTCCAAGATAAGAAGACATGTTTTCCACACAATATTAAAAGCTCATAACTTCTTGCTTCACATGTAAGTCTGTACACTACCTTAGAACCAAATGTGAGTCTAGCATGTGCGAAAGAGGAAAGTTACTGGAAAAAAGGTCAAAACTGGTATAAGACTAACTAACGACTAGCTTTAATAATTACACCATATTAAAATGTCCCCATAAGTTTAGTTTGGATATTCTATTTAACTTTAATTTCTAAATATTTGGATTTCTGATAATCCTCTCTATTGTAATGCTACTACTTTGTGACTCAAAAGTTAACTGACAACTGCTGTACATTTTCCTCAGGCCCTGGCATACTTTGGGACATGTTGATACTGCCATTTATGGTGCACCAAGCAGTGGTGTAACACGGCGTCAGGTTCAGTTGCAAACTTGGCTGTGAAATGGGTGTATTTTTTGTTTTACCTACAGCTCATATTTTCTTTCCTCTTTTTTTTCTCCACTTTTAGATACTTGAGAAGTTTCAAGTGTATGGTGATTCTGCTGTGGGAAAATATGGACGCAAACCAACCGTGCGAGATGTGGCAAGGGTGGGTTACACTATCATCCTCATGATATTATGTTGCAGTCTGGAAAATGTGCCACATACCCTTATATATTACAAGTCATAGAAGAAGGAATAGAGTATGCCAAGAACCGTTTTTTCTGCAAACTCTAAAACGTGGAGCTGACAATTTTATGCTATTGTTTGCCATATTTTCATGAGTCATAAATGACTTCTTTCTAAAGAAAAAATAGGAAGAACAAAAATTGGGAAGCTGTCAACTGATTTTTTGTTGACGTCATTTTGCATTCAATAACATGGGTCTCTTTTCATGTGTCACTCTCCCCATATCTGAAGGCTATATTGCATTGATCCTGTCATGCCGGAAGCGCATCATGGATTATGAATTTTGACATGAGTTGGTCATCTGACTCATTCTGACAGCCTTGTTCAATGTAGTTGTTACCTTATGGGTCTACTCTGGGATATGTGATTATGAAAATAGGTCTAAATACTTTTGCAATATGGATCAATCCATGAAATGCCAAGTTATCCTGTTGTCTCTATCTTTCCGTCTTTCACCACTTATTTTTTTGGTTGACTGGGGTACAATATCTTAAGCTAGTCTGTTATGACCTCAGTTTCTCCTACCATAATTACTATTGGTTCAGTTACATTATCCCCGTTTTGTTCTGCTGCAGCCTTTGCTTGGTCTCTTCCATTCAGAACCTGGGAATGGTGTGTGGAAGCGCAAAGCTGATGCTGCTTTCCTGCATTGCACGGTATTATTATCATCATTTTACACCTATATAGTTCCATTCTTAGTATTTAATCTATTATCAAAATTTAAGGGAAGTTTCCCAAACACAGGACCTTAAAGTTCTAATCACACACACACACACACAAAAAACGGGGAAAAACCCAATATTCATTAACATAATTTGCTTTCACTTTCCACCCCATGTAAACTATCAACCATTTTCATTAGTTCTGGTCAAGGCAGCAATCGTCTTCATTATTTGCTTCCACTTTCATGCCTAAGTTTTTATGAATAATGCTTCTCAGCTTGAAATGTTTTTAAAGTTAATGTCAATCAAAGAAACAGCACACTACATTTTTCTTATTAAAAAATACATATGTAAGCAGCCAACATCATCAGAATTCGGTTTGGATAAATATTTATTGCAGAGGTTTGATTGGCATGAGTGTGTGGAGGAAATAACGAGTCCCCATAAACACAACATTACGTCATTAATGTGTCTTTATGCTGCATTCTTTGAGAATCTTTTTAGGGGAGCAGTCTATGTTATACTATTATACATGATACATGTCTCTAACTCTCTAATTGAAGCTCTGCTAGGATAAAAGCCCAGCCTTTCTCCAAACCCTCCTAGCTATTCAATGCTGCGTCATTGGCAATGTATATTGATAAAGTGTTTTAAGAATATTTTAAAAGCAATCTCCAAACCCGATCATATTGCCGTTGTGATATGTAGGTTGTACTCAATAATAATCAATAAAAGTGCAGCACAAATGAAATGTCATCTAGTATATAATATATTGATTTTACCTAACAAGATCAGTATTGGTGTTTTTGGTTGACATTTGTCAACATGTCATAATGAAGTATAGAAGAGATCCTCTTTTCTATTTTGAGAAGGAGCTGTATAGAGAGCAATCTTTTTACAGCAAGCATAACAAACACGATGAAGGTTATGAGAAGAAAGGATAATACAGTAATTCCACAATAACTTAAGTTGTCTTGATTGTACCTCAATGGCATTCATTACTGTCATTCATTCTTTTCTGGTAGCTTTTTCCTCTGATCTTCCCGGACTCGTCTTATTTTCTCTTTTCGAAATTGCTCAAGTTTCTGAGACAGCTCTTGAACCTTGCAGACTATGAAATCATTTTTTGATGAAACGCTTGTGGCAATTCCTGACCATGTTCTAGATTCACCTATTGGAGAGCCATCATCAGGAGGTGAAGATCCTTTTGCCAATATTCATACTTTGCTGCCTCCAGCGTACGAATCAAGGGAGCAAGAACTACTATATGCCTAGTCTGTATCTGTTCAAAATATCAAGTTTAGGCTATTCTTTACATTTTTGGAATTTAACCTGATTGATCCCATGTAGCAATATGTACTAATATATGTCAGTACTCAGTGCACAGTCAGAAATTTTTTGTTGTGAAGCAGTCAGTCCATCTTAAAAATCTTCTGGATGGTGACTAGCAATTTTTATTTTGGGTGCTACATGTCCTCTCTAATGAGAACCTCTTAACTTCACGAATCTGTTACACTGATTTTTTAAATATATGATATGTGCTATTTTTGCAATCATTGTAAACGCGATCTTGGTTGAGCCCTTGGAATTTTGTCATGTATAACTTGATCTTTTATCTGAATTCTATAGTTCTAAATACTGCCAATTTGATATCCACTTCAATAGCTCTTAGTTAAATGGTGGATCTCTCTTTTCTTTTCTTTTTCCCTTCTAATGGCTTTGCTAGGTGTGAAATGGGAAATTAGAACTGAAATTGTTGCGCCTGCCTCTTGGATAAGAGATAATGTGTGTGCTCATTATACCCTTTCCCTCCAATCTTGTATTGTTGCGTTGTATTGTATTGCTCCTCTTCTTTAACTTGTTTCAATTCAACCTTAAGAAAACAAACTACTATAGGCAATTCAAGGCCCCGTCCGACGTTTGTTGGCCAAGGCTGCAGGAGCAGCTGAAGAGCAAAAGGTGAAGAGAAACAGTGACACCGAGAAAGAGGACAAGAATGGGAGTTGCTCTGCTGCTGGGATTGCATTGGCCGATGGGCCAAAACCGGGTACCCCCCCTGAGAAGCTAGGAAAGCATTTGCTTCAGTTTGTGTTACCATGCCCACAGCTAAGATCTGTCGCAGATGAAGCTCTATCATTTGTTGTGTTTTAAGCTGAATCAGTTTGAGCCAAATGTAATGGTGCCCTACTTATGTGCTAGTCATATTCTCTTGGGGAGAAACTTTGTTTGCTCTAATGCTTCTGTGAGATGTTAATCTGAGCATTCTAGTTGTCTTTGATGATTTTTGTAAGCAAGAACGTGCTCTATGAAGTTCATCAAAAAGCAATTATGGGCCACCAAATGGAGCTAACACTACCCCTTTCAATTCTCTGCATAACCACCTCTGCTTTAATCGAATACCTCTTCTTATTAAGATGAAACATGCCATTTTCAGAGTTGGAATATTTTCTAACTCCCAAGTTCGAATTTCCCATCCACATTAGTCAAATAAAGAATAACAAGTGCTAATTCTAAGGCATGACCCAATTAGATAATAGATTGACAACAACATTATGCCACGAAAAGCAAAAGATACAGTTTAAGGGAGAAAAAAAAGGGTAATTTGTGCAACCTGTATAGATGAGTTAAGCTAGTTAATCAATGCATTGCCTCAGTCCTCTTACACCTGAGTTTGATCCATATTCCCGTGATGTAGTAGTTTAGAATATCATCTTGTCAAAATCAAAAAAAACAAAAAAAAAGAAAGAAAAAAAAAACGGCAATTTGTCCAACCCCACTTCCCTATATATAAAAAAATATTTGTTTTTAAACGAGATCAGAAATTCCCGTTCATGTTCCCGCACCATATTTTCCCTTTATATTTGCAGATATAAAAAAATAAAAAAATAAAAAGTTATATGCACATATATTTTTCTAATTAATTCACAATTTTAAATTTAAATTAGTGTATATATTGACAACTCTCTTTCGTAAATTCTCCGAACATATGATGTTTCCCTTTTTTCCCGGGCAACCCGAACCGTACCAAAACTCTAACGGCCGAATTTGAGCAGTCTAAAACCCTAAACCCTACGCCCCTGATCGAACCTCCAAAATAAAAAAGGAAAAAAACCGAAACTTTTTTTTTTTGAAAACCCAAAAAGAGCAAGTAGAGAAAAGAAAACACCGAAATTACAATTACACAGCAAAAGAAGAGGAGACGAGTTTAGCAGAAGAGAAAGCTCTTTCCCGTTGTAATCAATCTTCACAGAGCACACAAAGCAGAGATTCCTAGCTGCTTCCGATTCCAGGTATCCCTATTCTAGTCTTCCATCCCCAATCCCTAACCCTGAAATCTCTTTTGTTTCAATTTCTCAACCTTTGATTTCAAATCCAGGTTTTGAAAAGGGAGAGAACTCTGTTAACTCGACTGGTGTGGCCTCTTCAACCAACCCTTCACCAGGCCTGCTTCGTTGCTTCCTCCGCCTTCGCCTTTAGCGGTATCTCTATCTACCTTCTTTATTGAATTCATATTGAGATTCACTACTATATCCTTCATTCATTAATTTTTGTAGTTAAATATTAGTTTCTGTCATGCTGGTTTAGCTTGGCAAAATCACAGCATCTTCTTTTCTATTCTCCCCCATTTTTTATTGTTTAATGAAACAAGGAAAATATTGAAACCAACCATGTTTATCACATACATCTATGGAGTTCGTATAAAAACTAGTTTTTGTTTTATTTATATAAATTTATGCTGCGCTTAGCCGGATTGATTTTACTTTATTAGTATTTGATGTAATTAAATAAATAAATAGTCAGAGTTGTTATGCTGCGGATTGTGTGAACCAACCATACAAAAACTTGTTTAATTTGATTAGAACATGGCTGTAGTAAATCTTTATGACTTGAGGGCTGTTTATATGTTCATATAATTTTTTATGTTTTAAAATTTTGATAATAATCTCATGGAATAGCTGGTTTGCTCATGGAAATCATTGCTTTTTATTTTTTCAGTTCCTGTAAGTTCACTGACATGGAAGCTGAAGCTGAGAAGAGCTTAGTTAAGAGAAATTTTCTCAGAGACAATGAAGTAAAGATTCAAATGTTGTGGAAAGAGCATGATGTTTACAGGGCTGAATCTTGTGAAAAGCCTCCTGAACTGGGGGAGAAGTTCTTTGGAAACTTCCCATTCCCTTACATGAATGGTTCTTTGCATCTTGGACATGCATTCTCACTCTCAAAGCTAGAGTTTTCTGCACGTTATCATAGGTTAAGAGGTGCCAATGTTCTCTTGCCTTTTGCTTTTCACGGCACTGGCATGCCCATCAAAGCCTCAGCTGATAAGCTTGCAAGAGAGATCAAACAGTTTGGGAACCCGCCAGTGTTTCCCCAAAGTGATGAAGAGGAGCAAGGGAACCAGCAGGAAGCAGAAGATGAAAAAGCAGGTGCACCTTCAGATAATAAGTTCAAGGGAAAGAAGTCCAAGGCTGCATCAAAATCAAGTGGACAAGCATACCAATGGCAAATTATGCGTAGTCTTGGACTCTCTGACAGTGAGATACCTGAATTCCAAGAACCGTCTAAGTGGTTGAACTATTTCCCTCCATTGGCAGTGGAAGACCTAAAGGCTTTTGGCTTGGGATGTGACTGGAGCCGCTCCTTTGTTACTACAGACTTGAATCCATATTTTGATAAGTTTGTGAGGTGGCAGATGTGGAAATTGAAAGAAATAGGTAAGATTGTGAAAGATAAACGTTACACAATCTACTCTCCATTGGATGGACAGCCATGTGCAGATCATGATAGGGCAACTGGTGAAGGAGTTCAGCCCCAAGAATACACAATCATCAAAATGGAGGTAGTGGCACCTTTTCCTGCTAAGTTGGGAGTATTGGAAGGGAGGAAAGTTTTCCTTGCTGCAGCAACATTGAGACCAGAAACCATGTATGGACAAACAAATGCATGGGTTTTGCCCGATGGAAAGTATGGAGCCTTTGAAATCAACGACACTGATGTATTTGTTCTTACTCAGAGAGCAGCACTTAACCTCGCCTATCAGGAGTATTCTAGAGTCCCTGAGAAGCCTACTTGCTTGGTTGATCTCACTGGTTATGATTTGATTGGTCTTCCATTGAAATCGCCACTTGCACTCAATCAGATCATTTACGCCCTTCCAATGTTGACAATCCTAACAGACAAAGGTACTGGGATTGTGACCAGTGTCCCTTCTGATGCTCCTGATGATTTTATGGCCTTGCATGATTTAAAATCGAAGCCAGCTTTCAGGTCAAAATATGGTGTGAGGGATGAATGGGTCATGCCTTTTGATATTATCCCAATCATTGACATTCCCGAATTTGGAGATAAGGCTGCAGAAAAGGTGTGTGTAGATCTCAAAATCAAAAGCCAGAATGACAGAGAGAAGCTAGCAGAAGCCAAGAGGTTGACCTATTTGAAAGGATTTACAGAAGGAACAATGCTTGTGGGAGAATTCAACGGAAGGAAAGTTCAGGAGGCGAAAGCACTGTTAAGGAGCAAGCTGATAGAGGCAGGTGATGCAATTATGTATAGTGAACCTGAGAAGCGCGTAGTGTCAAGGTCGGGTGATGAATGTGTTGTGGCATGTACAGAGCAATGGTACATCACATATGGTGAAGCAGAATGGAAAAAACAGGCTCAGGAGTGCTTATCCAGCATGAACTTTTATTCTGACATGACACGGCATGGATTTGAACATACATTGACTTGGTTGAATCAGTGGGCTTGTTCACGATCATTTGGGCTTGGGACGCGCATTCCCTGGGATGAAAAATACTTGGTTGAATCGTTGTCTGATTCCACCATTTACATGGCTTATTACACCATTGCTCACTTGTTGCACAATGAAGACATGTATGGGGGTTCCAGCACATCTGGGGTTACACCTGAGCAAATGACCAATGAAGTTTGGGATTTTATTTTCTGTGATGGTCCATTTCCAAAATCATCTGAGGTGTCACAATTAATTCTGAATAAGATGAAGCAGGAGTTTGAGTACTGGTATCCTTTTGATCTTCGAGTGTCTGGTAAGGATCTAATCCAAAATCATTTAACCTTTTGCATTTACAACCACACAGCGATAATGTCCAAGAAGCACTGGCCTCGTGGATTTAGATGCAATGGGCACCTCATGCTCGATTCAATGAAGATGTCCAAGTCCACAGGGAACTTTATGACATTGCGTGAGGCAATTGCAGAATATTCTGCTGATGCCACACGGTTCTCTTTGGCTGATGCTGGTGATGGTGTTGATGATGCAAATTTTGTTTCTAGTACTGCGAATAAGGCCATCCTAGATCTCAGTAAAGAGATCTCCTGGATGGAAGAACAATTGGGTGCAGACAAGTTGAGAATAGGTCCCCCTTCTACTTTTGCTGACATGGTCTTTGAAAATGAGATGAATATTGCTGTGAAGATGACTGAACAGAATTACCAGACTTGCAAGTTCCGAGAGGCCCTTATTACTGGCTTTGTTGGTCTTCAAGCTGCCAGGAAGTGGTACTGGATTTCATGTGGCTCTCAAGAAATGAACCGTGATTTGGTGTGGCGCTTTATGGATGTACAGACACGTTTGATTGCTCCAATCTGTCCACATTATGCAGAATATGTCTGGAGGGAGCTTTTGAAGAAGGATGGGTTTGTGGTAAATGCAGGCTGGCCTGCAGCTGATGCTCCAGACTTAACCCTCCAGAGTGCCAAAAAGTATGTGGAAGACTTGATTGGTTCAATGATCAAGCTGTACAACAAGCAAAAGGCAAATTTGACCAATAAGAAGGTGATAGGCTTGATATATGTTAAGGAACAATTTGATGAATGGAAGGTAGAGTGCTTGAGGATACTCCAGAATAACTTCAACAGAGAGACTCGTTGTTTTGCTGCAGACAGTGTCATATTGGAGGCATTGCAAAGTAGTTCTCTCAATCAGGGTAAAGATTTTAGACAAACCCAAAAGCTTTGTATGCCTTTCTTGAAGTCAAAGAAGAAGGATGCAGTTGAACTTGGGGCTCAGGCCTTAGACTTAAAGCTACCATTTGGAGAGATTGAGGTCCTTCAACAGAACTTAGACTTGGTTAAGAGACAAGTCAAACTTGAAAAGGTGGAAGTTTTGTCTGCTACCAACCCAGATGATCGTGCTAAAGCGGGCTCTCATGCGAAACAGATAGAGCAAAATCCTCCATCCCCTGGAAGTCCAACGACCATCTTCTTGACCTGTTAATTAGCTATAATCTTTTTGGTTGATATCTACAATTTACGTACAGAACTCTCTGTCAGATTAGTTTGCTCACTTAAATTGTGTGGGTTTTTCTTTTATTTATTATTTATTTTTATTAAAGTTCAAGCGTGGTTGCTTCTGTTTTCAACAATTTCAGTCAAATGAAGAAACTAGATCAACTTTGTGAGTTCCAAAGTTCAAAATTGGAGTTGAGTGGGGCTAACAATCAAAGTAACAGTTCAAAATTGTCTTTTTATTTATTTATTTAAATTTCTGAACTGCCATTAATGGTTACTGTCAATATTTTGTGCATCTGATTAGTTGGGATTGAGACAACTGATAGCTTGACTTTTTATCAGGACAGATCCTGGAATATTCTCCAGAACAACATCATATTGTTCTTCAAATTGGTGAAAATAATTTGGAAAACCTGGCCAAAGCTACCTGAGCTCGCTGAACCTTACAAATATGATGAGATCAATTTTAAGTTTGTGCACTTGCTATTACCTATCTTTTTATTCACAAAATTTACTTAACTTTCATTTTTTTCCCTTGACCCCTTATTTGACCTTCTATGTTTTACCAGTTGTGGATGTCCAAGTCCAAGAGTGGCTGGACATGGGTGCTTTGGTGCTCGCCTTATGCTTGATCCAAAGGTTTGATCACATTTCTCATTATATTGTTAATTGCAATAAATATATATATAGATATATATATATATATATATATATATATGATTGTTTTCTGTATACTGTGTTCTGATAAAGGCATTTGGTCTTTACAAGGAAAGTTTGTTGCTGAGTTTATGTCAGTGATTGCCGCATACACAGATGCCCCTGTCGGTGTGAAATGTCAAATTGGTGTTGATGTTCATGATTCGTATAGTGAGCTCTGTATGGTCCCTCTGTCTGAATACCGTCTATATAGTCAATAAACTAGTCAATATTTCTATGATAGAACAAAAAAGGACGTTGGAAGAGCCAGTGAATGATAAACTATGGACAAATAGTTTTTTGCATTCTACAAAAATATTATGCTTTAATTTTGCATTCCGTGATTGAGTTTACCTTTCTAAATATTTTCTTTGTTTGGTTCTTTATGATTGTGCTGTTATACCATGGAAATATGAAGGCATTCAGTTCTACAGAATCTATAAATTATTGTGAGTCTGTTTTGGCTTCTCTTTGGGCATTGGTTTCTGAGCAGTTCAAGGATTATGACTACTGTATCATCATGAGAGATAGGGCAGCAGTCTTAAGATGATTTTACATAAGTTGTTTTCTAGTTACAGATACATTTTCAGGTGCAGTAGGTTAGTTTTTTTATTAGGTATTCTGGTGCTTAATGAGTCTGTTTTCCTTTTGTTGTATGATCAAGGATAATTTTTCCTCTTGATTATCAATACAAATGTTTCTATTTAAAAAAAAAAAATTTTGTGAGTTTAGAACTACTCACAGTCTGGTGCTTCTTCTTAGTTTTCTTATCATAGAATCCAAATTATCTGAGTTATTCGAAAATTAAATTAAAAAGAATAGGTCCAAAAAGAAAAAGAGGACATGGTTTTACAGTACAAAACTTCATCAGTCGGATAAAAGAATATTAAACACAAATTTAACTGTCAAATGTAATGTAGGCAGATGGATGGTTAGCAAGCTGAAAAGAGAGTATAAAAAATAAGAGCGATAAGGTAAATGCAAGAGCTTTCTAGATTTTCCTATATTGGGAAAAGCATTTTATTACTAATTTGGAGCAGTCTCATAAATAGAAGCAGGAAAGAAAATGTAGCTTTGTGGTAGGTTTGCTTCTGTTTTCTGTTTGCTTCTGCATGAATATGTTCTAAGGCATCAGACTTAACAGGTTATATAATACTCCCCCCACCCCCCCAAAAAAAAAAGAGAGAGAGAAGGAAGAACAGGTGTTTTGTTTCTACTTTGATTAATTCTCCTCCTTGCCGTGTTTTCTTTCGTTTTGTGTTCTCCTGTTTAATTTGGTTAGTTTCATTTTTGCATATGCATTAGTTGAGGTTTTGTTCTTTTTTAGGTTTCTATTGTCAGTCTTTTTTGTTTATTCAAAGCTTCTTTCATTTTAGTTTTTGCTGTTTTGTTGGTGCTACTTTTGCATTAATTGTTCTACGTTTCTTTGCGGTTTTGAGTACTTTGATCTATGTTCATTGGCCATTTTTTGTAGGTTTTCTGATCTATTGTTTGTGTTTAAGTTTTATAATTTTATTTGCTGTTTTGCAACAACAACAACAACAACAAAAATTGTGCATTTTATTATTTTATTTTGCAGGCCTTTCTTGGTTCCTGGTTTACACATTTTTATTTGTCAAAGTTTTTTTTTTTATTGTGTTTGTTTTGTGTGCTACAAAGCTTCTGGAGTCTTTGTTCTTCCCTCTTGCTGGTTTTCTGGGATAGGAAAGTGTTGTTTTTTCAGTTGGTACTGGTCCTTATGTTAGTTTTTTTTGTTTCAAGTTCTTTGGTCCTCAAGCTGAGTTGTGTTAGGTTTTAGATTGCATCAGGTTTTTTAGTTTTCCTTTTTTGTCTTCGTACTTTTGTTGTGGTCTGTCTTCTTTCTGGTTCGTTGGCCAAGTTTTTCCATTGATTTTCCATTTGGCTAAGTTCTTTTAATTGGTTAGTTGTTTTGCTTTAGAACTTTTCGTAGGGATTTTGACTTTGGGTTGCCGAGGGAAGTTTTCACTAATAGCTTCTGTTGCAATCTTCAGCTTTTGTTTTTTCGGTTTTCTTACATGTGCTTAAAGTTTGTTCCAATTTGTATTTGGTTTCTTCTTGCCACTTTGATAAGTTTTGCCTTTTTTGTTTTTTTATACAAGCAATATTCTACTTTAATGTAATCTAAACTATGGAAAGGGGGATTCAAACTCGGGTGTAGAGTGGGGAGCACAACCACTCTAGCCAACTTGGCTAAGCCCGTGTCTTGCAGTTTGCTTTCTTTGTTGTAGTTTTTTAACTTTCTCTTGTTTAGATGTTGAGCAGGTTATCAACAGGTTTCCTTTTCTGCTGTTCTTCGTTGACACCGAATCTAGCCCATTTGATTAATGCATTTTGGTGCATTTATCTTATTTACTTTAAAGTCTAGTTCGATGCTTTTGATTTGATTCATGGTGCATTTATCCGGTGCCATTCATTGTTGTCTATTTTGAGAGTATCTTCGAAAGGCCTAACGTCAATTTGTTTTTCTTCTCACTTTTTGTTGTTTATGTTTTATTTTTCTGTTTTGCTTTTAATTTTTCATGATAATTTTCTGTTGTAGGGTGATGATTTCTGCCGCTGGCATGGCCATTTTGGTGTGTAGATTGAAGAGGTGTCCAAGCTTTCTCTTCTTTCATTTTTGTTTTTTCGTTTTCCCGTGATTGTAAGCCACAAATCTTTTTTGAAGATTACGCTTTTTGATTCTTAGTGAGAGTTTAGGATGGTTCATTGTTATCCTTTGTATTCTCTTAAAGGTGCTTCTATTGTTTTGAATATAACATCTCTTTTCAAACCAAAAAAAGTTCACCCAGTGTGTTTGGAGTGAGAAAATAACAACGTAAGTTGAACAAGACTCAGAAATTTCTGAACATGTGCCAATTTTCTTGTTTGACTTAATAAATAAAGAAATTTATCATTTGTAAGTGGAAAAGAACTATCAAATTCCACATAAATGGATGTTATTTCTAAAATCTCAAAACTGAGCTTTAGAACCAATAAAAGAAACTACAACCATGTCATTAACGCCACCCTATCCTCACCATCGTCTCTACTACGATCACTTTTGCGATAGTCTAAATTAGAGGGGAGGGGAATTTCTCACATACACACAAATGATGTTGTGCGGGTTCGAACATGAACCTCTATTTTGCAAGTCAAAACCCTTTTCCACTCGGCTAGATTCTGTTGATACCATCACTATTAATTATCTAAAAGTTGATACATTCACCAATATCAGTTGTAAACTCCGTACTTCATCTTGTTTATAGGTTAATACCTCAATCAAAATTAACTGTACATAGTGTGCAAATCTGATGAACAGATTTTTAAATCCCAATAATTTTGATTTTTTTTTTTTTTTAAGGGTTGTTGTAAACTTTCTTAAAACCCAAGTCTTATAACAAATATTATAAAACTAATATATTTTTTATTTTTTATTTTTTTGGAAATGACCAAAAATAATTCATTTTGATAAACGAGTTACAAACTTCGAACGTCCAACAAACGCCACACACGTGCATTTGAGAATGTGATTCAATTTGATAAAATGCCATTAAAAGTCCAAAATTTACGATTCTACCTCACACTTCTTCTCTCTCCATAAGCAGCTCTCTGTAACCAATAAGATCACACAGAAGAGAACGAACCCAAAACCAAAATCAAACAAAGCCATGGAAACGCAAGACAACGAGATCGAAAACCTCAACAGCACCTCTTCATGGAGTTCTGCCGCAAACTGGACCATCTCCGGTGGCTCTCTCGTAAACTGCGTCTCTTTCGAGTCGTCTTTTTCTCCGATCGACGACGAGACTCTAAAGTCCACCTCTGAATCCTCTCTTATTCTGCACCCTCCATCACCCGATTCTGCCCCTTGCGAGATCACCAGTATGTTCCGGAACTTATTTTTCTCTGAAAATTTTACATTTTCGTCAGATATTTTATGCGTTAATTTCTTTGTTGAAATGTTGTGATTAAAACAATTATGTGCATTGTTTTACTTTTTCAGTTTATGATAAAAAATGTGAGGTTTAGCTCTCTGTTTGGGGTGCGAGAAAATGAAGGAAAACAATATTATATCAATTGCGGTCCTTTACATCCTTATTGTAGGTTAAGAATTTGAAATAGTAACATTAAGATCTTGATTAACAGTTTGGTAACATAGTCTGTAGGCACCTATTTTCAACTTTTGGAGCAAGTGTATTAGAGAAACCGTATGTGTATTCGTCTGGTTTTCTTTTTTAGGATTAAGATTTTATGTTAATGACATTTGATGCTAAAGTAGATTTCAATTAGGATGCGGATTGCCTAGTTATTAAAATAGCGAATATGTAGATGGAGCTGAAAGTAGGAGCTGCATCTGGTATGTTGAAAACAGAGGATAAACCGGAACTCTGCGGAATAGTGCCTAAGATGAGTTCAACAAGAACATTTTAGTAGCTTAAAGTAGAAAGAACATTTGTTGGAGCACATGATGTTATTAGGGTTGTGCAAAATGCATGAAGAATGTCTGACTCAACTGTTTCGACAGAGTAATTAGTTAAAAAACCTTCGATGATGTAGTCAGACGTTTTTTTTTCTCCACACAACTATTGATTTTATTAAGGAAGGATTTCTCGGTTCATATGACTAGTGATATTTGAAGACGCTATATAGCTCAATCTAATTCAATGTTGATTCTTGGAAAAGATCCTAGAGTGTTAAGCCAAGGTAAATATGGCATGGTC